TTTGTGACTTTTTGTCTGACCGAGCGGAACATCACGACACGGTTTTTTCTGGTGTAGGACTTATTAATTCTTGTTTTTTCGAGCTGGCGTTAAATGATTCAATTGAAAATACCGTCACGACGACCCGCGATTCGCTAGAAACTGACATTTGCTATCGATATGATGCATGTACGAATTTTCATCACGAACGCGAACAATCAATCCGGCATCTCAACTGTCTCGACTTAATACTAATAAAACACACCCCCAAATGCAATTCGGCGAAATTTTGACAATTGCGATCGTTTGATGCACGTACAATTTCCGCCCGAACGCTAATTTCCGAGCTACGAATTAAGATATTAATAAATTCGTCCTACACCAGCGACAAAACGCGACTTCACATGTTGACTACGCGAGTACTGAGCCACGAGTGACGACGAGAAGTTTGCACGCGACACGGTTCGAGTATAGTATTCCTCCGCGTTACGTCATGTTGGACTGACTTGTCCATTGCCTGGCGCGGATTTTAAATCTTTGAATTTAAAATCGGCACAGAAATCTCCCCTGCCAAAAGAAATTGGCCCGAGCGACCTTCAGGTCCGCACGAAGGCCTTTTCCATCCCGGGACAATTTCGACCCGGCGCGACGACGCTTGACGTGGCAACAGACGCTTCATTCATACGACACATTTTTTTGTTGATTTTTTTTCCATTGATTTACATTTAATACATTTAACACGAAACAATTTTACACATAAACATTTGAAATTTGAATAACAAAAATATAAAATCTGAAACTTTAACAATAATAAACATTTTGCTTTGAGGTCGGTACTGAGAAATTAAAAATTGTTGTCAACTAACACCTTGTGTCATAAACCAAGACTGCATCAATCCATCAACAATTTGAATGGTGTAAACGCGCACGCTTAACACACTGTAGAATTATCTATCTAGCATTCAGCGTTGAGTAGATGTCAACAATCAGTTCATTGACCCGTAGCGCAGTCGACAGTCAGCTGTTGCCGATGGAGTGGGCGGGGGCGGGGGACATTGTTGTGGTGAACGGCCCGATGTCTGCCTGTCTGTGCGGGTAGGTTCTACTCTCGCCCCACCACAGCTGGAACGTGACCTCTGTTGGCCAGCCTTCATGTCGCTCACAGTGGTTACATAACATGACTCAGATGATTCATTGTTTCTCAAAATATGTAATTATGAAAATGTTTAAAACAATTGACCTCAGTTTGACTCTATTTACTCAAAATTGAAAACTATTGCACATGTAAATATAAATAATCTCTGTACGAATATGACACAAATAAATAAACAAGTAAACAAACACAGAAATATCAATGTGGATCAATTGGATAATTGCCTTAGAGATAACAACTGATACCCTTATCAATGCCAACCTGCCTTGGTAGTAATGCCAATCTGCTTCCTTGTTACCAGACCTCTCAAATTAGTGCTATCACTTTTTGTAAAGAAAAAAAAGAGAATCTTCACTTATATTCAAAATATACTCTTTACTTAATTAATCATTCCATCAAGCAAAATCACCTCACACCTTTATGTAATACAATTTGGGTATTTCATACAGGTGTGAGTATAACAAAAAGTTGCCCCCTGGTGGGGTTTTAATGAATTTAATTTAATTTTAAATGAACTACTGAGGACGTTACAATCACAGAGCTGCGCAGTGGAAATAAAGATGTTAAGTGTGGGCCCTGTAATTAAATATCCCAGAAGTCCGATTTATGGACCGTGAGAGGTCTGATATGTTGTCCTCCTTCACACCTTCTTCAGCTTAATTCTAACACTTCTTAAAGCTAATAGATGTGTTTATTTGAACACTCTATGAATTGAAATGTCAGTTCAGATGAAAGATTGTGATGTGAATTGTTTTCTTTGTAAAACTGTAATACTGCAAATAATAACATATTAAAATATTGATTGAATATATTTGTGAAACTGTTTGTTCAGGAAATATTTATCAAAAGTATGACTTCAAGATGTTTATATATACTGGATTCGGTTAAGCCGATTGATCATGAATTCACCAATTTAATATTAAATATTATGAACTGAGCTTATAAAAATTGCACTGTCAAAATATATTTACAAAATGTGATCATCAACACTCATTGTGAATACTTTGTATACCTCTTCCAGTTAAGCCATTTACCTTTTTACTTTACCAGTTTTATACTAATGATACTAACAGCTGAAACACAGGATAATGAAAAGATGGTGATTTGTAAAAATACTGTATAATGAGTCGAATTGAGCTGTGATACAAGTAACAAATATAAACAATGTAATAACCTTTTTGTGCATAATTTAACGATATTTTGAAAGAGAGAGTGAGAGAGTTGATTGCAAGATTGAATGTTCAAATTGGCGGTTTGTTCATTTTTTAAAACTGCAAAGTCTCGGGAAAACCTAGCCTTGATGATTTTATTTATTTGTTTTGGATCACCAGACTCCCCAAAGATGTTCGTAATTATCAAACTGGCCAGTTTACAATTTAATCAAACAGGGACTATTATGTAGGTTTGTGATCTACATCACTCCTTGCTGATCAGTGCAACGGGGCCAATCGACTGCTGAGTCGATTATTTGATAATTTTTTATTTAGTATTTAATATTTATGAATTTAATGGGAGTCTATCCTCATGACCCTTCATCAACCCTAGCCTTCGACCGAGCACTCTGTTACCCCCATTTACGTTACACAATCAAACTCTCACTATTAAAAAAATGTAATACTGTTCAAAAATTATTCTACACATGAAATACAAACGTTTTAAATAATAATACTGATGATGATAGAATCTCTCGACTTAATACTAATAAAACACACCCCCAAATGCAATTCGGCGAAATTTTGACAATTGCGATCGTTTGATGCACGTACAATTTCCGCCCGAACGCTAATTTCCGAGCTACGAATTAAGATATTAATAAATTCGTCCTACACCAGCGACAAAACGCGACTTCACATGTTGACTACGCGAGTACTGAGCCACGAGTGACGACGAGAAGTTTGCACGCGACACGGTTCGAGTGTAGTATTCCTCCGCGTTACGTCATGTTGGACTGACTTGTCCATTGCCTGGCGCGGATTTTAAATCTTTGAATTTAAAATCGGCACACTATAAATCGATTATAAATAACTCCAATTTTTTAACAATATTTGGATTGTTCGTGATTTAGCAGTGTGCTTTAGGTAGTCCGATCTTAATAATCAATAATTTAAATAGAAGCTGGTATTTCACTGAAGGTTCTTAGGTCAAAACAAATAGAATAACGTAATTAGAATTGAGTGAATCATGTTGCCACATAGGCAAAATTAATTTACAGCCCTTGATACAAAATGCTTTTTTTCAATAAACTTTCAAAAGAAATTTATATCACATGTTTTATTTACAGTGTATGGGCCATGGGGTGAAAATAGAGAAGTCTGTACTGTACATTACATATTTTTGGTCGTATTACTGGACGACCTCTAGTTTTTTTTTTTTTTTTTTTAATCGCAGGTAGTCATTTTGTAAATACAATTTTTTAAAGAATTTTGCCGTTTTCAGATTTAACTCGGTCAAATGGTATATCGGAATCATTTGTAAGGATACTGTCATAATTTCTCTCGCACTCCGGACCCCTCCCCCGCTGCCACGTAGCGCACCAACATGAACATCCTGCTCAGCCACTCTGCCCGGCCCTGCAACTGTATCGTTTGTCAACTCGATCACTACTCGCATTCATACTCTGGCCGAGCACACTTAGACTAGATTACTGATTACGACAAGTGTTTATTATCTGTTAAAAAGGTATTTTCTGTAAGTCGGAAAGAGGCATCTTACTAATATTATAAGTGAGAAAGTTTGGATGTATCGATGGATGGATGGATGCATGGATGGATGGATGGATGGATGGAGGGATGTGACAAGTAAACACGAAGAATACTGGTCGGATTGGGCTATGACATTTGGTGTGATGATACCTCACATTCCCGATTAACATATAGACGCATTATTATCCCAAAAATACTTTCGGGCTCCGCCCCAGTGGCTCTGGAGTTTCCCATGTTAACCTTTTAGCTGTTCCAACTACACAAGTTGGTTCTATGATATTAGCATTAAAAAGTTATAAGGTTTACCAACAGGGCGCAGTACTATTTTTTTTTTCATTTATGACAACATCTAATTTGAACCAACTAGCAACAAAAAGCTGTGAAAATGAGAATTTCACCTTTTTCATTGTTTAGTTGAAGTGGTAGATTATTATTAAGTATTGCGACAATTGCAACTGTCGGCTCCTCTTTGACCGCTTGAAAACACAATATATCAACAATCACAGATAGCTCAGATGTAAGGTAAGAGATTCATAAATAGAAGTTATAGGTTCGAGACCCATCTGGGGAATAATATTTCAATTTTTTTCAATTTGTTTTATGAACCATTTAATTAAAATACTCAACTAATAAATATGCTTTTCATACTAAATCTTTATTATTTTGTGTTTTTATGTAGGATATCCCCATTGGATGCTTGGTCCAATGTTAAAAATTGGTTGGTTGGCCAACCGTAAGATTTAGTGCCAAAACATACTGTTGGCCAACCATGGACAGAAACATAGGGCCAACAATTTGCCAACAGTTTTTGCTACTTTGGGTATCATCGCTTAGCACTTTTCGGATGAAACGCAAATAACCTTATATCGTTCCAAAGCACTTTTCAGGAAAAATCCGTACAATGATATATCGTCTTTTTTTATTGGTTCACCTGTTTTTTTTTATTTTACCCTAATTTTTCACTCATCTTCAGGTTGAAATACATTGTATCCTTATCTCAATGTGTTAACAAAAAGGTCAGCTTAGATTAGACACTCCCTATTAGGTTAGACAAGACTAGGGTTTGGACAGTCCCTTTCAAAACATAAAAATGCCATTGGTGTAGAAAACACAAAATAAAATAATATTAGAATCAATGATATAGGTAATGATAATGATAAACCCAATCTTGTGGAACATCAACTTTATTAACAAATCAATAGATAGGTGCTCTTACAATAATCCTTTATAAGGGTAGTAGTTTAATAAACATCCTTCATTTCAAATAAGTATTAATATAACAAAATAACTGATATGTATAATACTTACCTTCATAATCCTTTTTAACAATTGTAATATAATAATTTTCATCTTTAAAAAAATATCAACATTCTATATCATGCAAACAAATCCAATTACAACCTAGGTGCCAGGAATTTCACATTTACAATTCCAACTTACAAACAGATACCATAACTAGTTTGTTAAGATAGTAAGTCACACTTGATTATGAGTTTTAGATAAAATTTAGCCCTAACACAAATAAAAATGAATAATTGTTTTACATATTCAACAACTCAACACTTTAATTTGTAACAGTTTCGGTAAAACTACTTTAAAACTATAATTACTTTTACTATCCTACTATAATTAATCATCATTCAGTTTAAAACAATATTTTATCGTAAACTTGTCATCAAAGTATCACAAATAATGTACCTAATATAGGACAATTATAAGTTTCACGATCACATTTACCAATGTAATCTTCAGTTATATTAAATTAGAAATAAAATTAGTTTAAAGTATTATTTAATAAAATTAGTTGATATATATTAAACAAATTACTTATTAAAATTGAAGTTGATTAAAAATTATTTATTCCTGCACCTGAAATCATCTGATGCTTCCATCGTGGTGTTTTACAAACCGTTTTAGTCTGTTATGCTGTCTAGTTGTTAGGCTGTCTTTGTACTTCCCGTCAAAATAGAAAATGTTCTACATCAAAACTTTACTGTAAACTTTTAGTTTACATTAAATTTTTAGTGAGGTTTAACAGTAAGCTAAAGACTTACACTCACACAGTTGGTTTTAGCAACAGTAGTAAAGCACCACTAAGAAACATATAGTTTTAGCATTAAATACAATGCCTTCACAGTTCTATAATAATAGTCTACAACTAAACTCAAGGCCAACAAACAACAAAAAGCTGCAAACAAACTACCAGTTGTCATTCAGGCTGTTAGACGAGGAGGAACTCTTGCGCTCGGCTCCAACAGCAGCGCTGCAGCGGAACGGGCGTTTGTTGAGCTCTGGCAAAAAAAAGTTCTTTATCTACCATCTTTGTATATTCTAAAGTTACTGAGGATGTGTCACCTTGTATTGAAATATTACATATCTTTAAATAGCAAAGTATGTCACAGACCTTACAATAGAATTTTTTTTAACTTGATTTGGACCTAAAAACTGAAAAATAGACCGCTACAAAAGTATAAGCTTCCTAAGGACAAGAATAATACAATTAAGGACTCCAACACAGATATGCACTGTTGTTATTAGTCTCCTTCAATGTGACTTTTGTGCCGATTTTGAATTCACTCATTCAAAATCAGCGCCAAAACGGCGGACAACATTGTCCAATCACGACGAACGCGGGAAGGTATGGGGGTTTAGTGAGTGGGAGAAAATTTTGCGCCGTTCCGGCCAAACCTCGCATGCGGGGTTGGTTCGGCAGATTGGCCACAACCTAAACCCCAACTCTCACTTGTTAGCTGCGGAGAGCTACCTTCTGCCACTGGGTGTTGGTCCACCTACAGAACCAAGTGAGGGGGGCCCTAGACTAAGGTGTAATGCGATCCGTGCCAAGAGTCTTGTGGCACTGGGGGCCTTATATTCAGTGTCTTAACGGAGCCTTCTGGGAACCCAGTCGTATGCACCCCTTACCTCTCTAATCGGGTCAATGGAGAGGGTGGACTCAGATACCCGGTATTCGTGAGAACAATGTGGACGATCTGACCCAAATGGAGGAGGAAGGTCTACTGAAATCTGACGATGACGACAGGCTCGCAGAAACCGGAAAGGAACGAAAAACGACTTTCCAGGTGCGAGTTGCAAAGACGGAGGATACCGGATGCTTTAGCCAAAGGCGAAAAGGTGCTATCCAGAAGTGAGAGGAGGCTGGTGTGGGCTGCCAAGCACCCTAACTCTGCTCCCTGCAAAGCCAGTTCCTCTGGGAACCAGGATGCTGGGAAAAAAGCAGGGCAAGGGTGGTACCCCCCAAGCTGACTCTAATGAAGCCTCCAGGAAGAAAGGTGGAGGCTGTGCTAACGCAGCAGGATTGGCTGGTCAAGCAAGTTCAGGAGCTGAGTCCTTTCAGGGAAATCTCGCTACGGCTTGCCCCAGCCAGAGAGCTTGTGAAAGCTGTGAAGGTATATTTATGTGCCCAGCCCTACAAGGTCTGCGTATGAGATCCCTTGGCCTATTGATGGGAGATCGAAGGGAAGAACAGGTTACCATAGTCAAAAGGCTCTCACGGTTCACCAAGGACCTGGGATTTTACAGTGAATGAGGACCTGTGAATGAGGGTGCACAATAAGCTGTTCTAGCTGCGATGCAATCCCATGGTGACTTGTAAGCCTGGCCCTCTGTTGAAAAAAAAGGAAAAAAACTACAAACGCATAGGGATACACAGACAAACGTTTGAATGTGGAGAAGCGTGGAACGATCACTTGGAGTAGAGAAAGCCATGTTTTCAATATATTATTCGTAACTAAGAAAATTGCGTTCGGGAGAAATTTGTACGTGCGTCGAAACGACAGCAAATGTTAATAATTCTCTGAATTGCTCGAATTGATTTTAATGATGAATTGATTTTTGAAAAGTCGAATTGATTTTAAATTACCGGATTGATGTAGCGTTCGTGAGAGAAAATTGTACATGCGTCGAACTTTGTACTACATTTTATATCTTGAATTATTGGTCAATCAAAAAATCAGTTCCAGTGCGAGTGGTTGATTTTGTTTTTAGAGGAGAGATTCAGAGGCAAACGTTGCATTGTCCAAGGCTAGGAGGAACTTTAAAGATCACAATGATAGACTCCCATTAGAGTAAAAATTGTTAATTTCAAATAAACAGCTCTACCAAAGGTCTGACTCAGTAGTCGATCGGCCTCGCAGTGGTACTGCAGTATAGTCCACTGGCAAACAAGTCCCTATTGCAATAACATACAACCGCCGGCTGTATAAAATATACTTGGGGAGTCTGGTGATCTCTATAATAAATCAATAAATTGGTTTTTCTCTATTTTTCCTGGGACAGTGCAAATTAGTGGGGTTGATAGGATTGAATCAAATTATATCACAATCATAATCTCCACTTGGAAACAAGTTGGTATTTCTCTGACTATATTCGATTAAATTTTGTAACATCCAGATCTCTCACAATTTTACATACGTTTTTCTGAGGTAATTTAATGATATTGGCCTACACACCTAACATCAAATCTTCCACTGCACAGGCTCTGTGTGATTTATGTCCTCATAGGTTCTGCATAAATTAAATTAAGTTCTTTTAAACCCCACCAGGGGGCAGCTTTTTGTGGTTTCACACCTTTATGGAATATAGAATTATATTCCATATTGGGGTGAATTAACTTGTAATTGCAGAGATGTATATCAATATATATATCAGAATCAAATTAATTAATATTTATTTTTTGTTTAAACTTTGCTGTCAAAACTATCAAAATATTTTTAAACACTGAAAAATAAATTAAAAATAAATATTCCCAAACAATACAAGTTTAAAAACTGATTTAAGACTATAATAAGAATCTTCTTTAATTTTTTTACCAGTAATAATATTTACTGTTTACCTGAAATGCACAAAAGCATTTTGCGACGAGCCCCAAATGCAGACACCCCAATCTCCTTCAGGTCAACCTCGCTGAGGGTTTGGAATGTTGCAAGATCCACCTCGTGGGACTTGAACAGTTCTAAAACAAACAGAAGTTCATAAACTTAGAAAAATATGTAAAATATGTTGTTTCCTGAACAGTTTTAGCATGGATAAAACATACTCCATAAGTAGATTTCTCATCCTTATGGATCAGATGAAGGCAATTTTATTGTTAGTTCTGTCATGTACTGTAGAGGTAGTTTTTTGCTTACATTTTTATTTCTCGTTTTTTTAGTCATTTATTTAAACAATAACTCAGCCCCTGGTTATATAAACGAACCGAAAAGTAAAGCACAGATCATTAAATTAACCCAAAAATATAGAAACAAAAGTTTGTTGACACTATAGCGATCGTGTCACCGGACATGAGCGAGACACAAAACACAAGCTTCAAAATTTACAATAGGATGAGGAGACGTCTATTTGTGTTGGTTAGTCTGTGCTTTCAGCTAATAAATTTACTTTAAGGTACAATAACACTTTTTAGGTGAACAAAAAATATGACATTTAAAAAAATGTATTTAGTGAAAATCCAATCAAACAAATGGAAATTTGCTTAGTCAGCAGATTAATTGTCTGTTACGGGGGTAATTTTATGTTTCAACCAGCAGTGTTAGGATAAAATAAACGTAGTTGAGCGTAGTTGGTTTACATTGTCAGAGTGCTCTGATGTAAATTGCTGATTTCTGTCAAATACATTAACATTTTAACTTTATAGGCATGCACCGTGGATGTGATACTCCCTGGTGTGGATTAACGTCCGCACGAGTGAGTACTACGACTATCCGCAGTACTATCCTGATAATTAGACCAATTCGTATATACAAAGGCAAAAATGTGGTTCGGATTCCACAATAAACTGTAGGTCCCTTTAGTTGCCATTAGCTGTATGGGCTATCAATTAACAGCTGTGTCTAAGGAATATGTCGGCCTTAGTCACTAACAAGACTACAAGATCGCGCCACTCATCCTACACTAATCTCCATTCATACTTGGCTTAAAATACCTACTTTGTATGGTCGCCATGCAATAAGAAAGTATTAATAGTATTAAAGTATTTTCTTCTGAGAAAACAGTTTTTTTTTTTTATATAACAGAGTTTCTTTTTTATAAAAACAGCTGTTCTTTTGTTTTTAAATTTGTTCTATAAAATTCTTATGGGGAAAAATCAATCCGAGCGTCTCGCCACAATATGGGTAAGAACTTTTAAATTTTAAAACCTTATTGCGAAACTACAAATTGAGATAAATTTTTTGACACCTCAAACGATGAAATTGGTCCACAAATAAGGGTGGAGAAGTATTCACAAAAATGCTGGCTTCACATATTATACATATATAAATAAATACTCACGAGTGTACTTATCTAGACCCATGGAGGCCAGCATGCTGTACAAGTCTGACTGCTGAGAGGTGGTGGAGATGGACTCCAGCAGACCCGAGGGGAGAGTCTCAAGGTAGTTGGAGGCAGAGAGTCCAGTCAGATCTGGAGAACTTCCGGGGTTGTGGTCAGAGGCCCAAATATCACCTCCCTGTAATTAAATAAAGTTATCAACAGTCTGACACTTACTTTATCCCATTAGCTTGTCAATAACTCTTCATGGTTAAGCGGTGGGAGTAGGCTACTATGATTTTTTACGGAGGAATTCACAAAAGTTGCGATAATCTTTGAGCCGTAAACTCATTATTTTTGAATAATGATGCTTTTGTTAAGAGTTAAAATGTACTATAATACGTGGTTCTAAATTATTGTTACACTTTTGAAACTCTATAAGTAAAATACCCTCGCCGCAGCAAACCTGCAGAGTAAGCGAATTACCATTTACCTGGCTGGATTTCTACTAAAATATTCCCTGAAAATTGTCAGATTTATTTCCTATTTAAATAACATCTAAATATTAATACGCAAGCAGTTTTTTTTTTACAGTCATAAGTCGATAACGGTTTGACGGATTTTAACGTTTGAGGTGTCAAATTAAAAGTTTTTTCACGTAGATGAGCAAATACGTCTCAGAATATTAAGAGAATCTCCTCTTTCAATTGGTTTCAATTGTGCTGATAGGTTATATAGTTTTTCATTTATAGAGTTTAAAAAGTGTAACAATAATTTAGATTTACCGTGTATACTGGTTAATGGACTGTAAGATTGAATCAAAAATGGTCAAGCGGGTTATTTGAAAATTACATTTTTCTGTTATTTTATCGGGTTTTATAGCTATTACCGTAGGTGGCACGGTAAGACCTAGGCCCGGGACCGATTTACTTTTTCATTTTGATGTCCCCAGAGGCCAAAAACACAATTCGTTCAAATTTCGTTTCAAACTAGGTTTGCCAAGTAGTTACGGCGCACACCGCTGCTGGCGAGGAGCGCAGTAGCCGTATGCGACCAGCAGAGGCTGAAGCGGTATGCACCGTAACTACAAGGCAAACCTAGCGGTGGACGCCGGAACTTATGCTAACCGCAGCACAGCTGACGGTCTACATTTATTCTATTTGTCATAGAACCAACTCGTGTGGTTGAAACAGCTAGCTGACAAAATTCTTTAATTCCTTTTAAATATGAATACTCATAAGGTTATCATGGGAAACTCCAGAGCCACTGGGGTGGAGCCCAGAAGGATTTTTGAGATAAGAATAAGTCTATATGTTAATCGGGAATGTGAGCTATCATCGTACCAAATTTCAGCCCAATCCAACCAGTAGTTAATGCGTGATTGAACTTCAAACAAACAAATAAATAAACAAACAAACACACAAACTTCCACATTTATAATATTAGTAAGATATATATATAATTACATATATATTAATTATATATATATATAAAATATGTGTCATATATATATACATAAATATATGTGTCCAACTTGAGTAGTTTTTGTCCGATTTTGGTGAAATTAGGTTTAATATTGTAAGGCGGGATAGCCTTGAATGAGTTTCTGAACCAGCATGATCGGACCATGGGAACGGGTTTAACTATTTTGGGGTTAACTATTAAAATTATATGGGGTAAAAATGGGATTTTCTAATTTTCACTCTCAAAACACAAAATTTTCCAATTTCTCTTCAGACCTTTTTAAAATAAAAATAAACTAATAATTTAGTATATCAAAGTGTTTTTGTACAATTATTGGTTACGGATAAAATTCAAAAAATTGATAATTTAAAATTCAAATTTTATTCTTATGGAGAATATTGTAAAATGTTGTAGTTTGCTTGTAAATGGATAAATTTTGATCGAACTTGGCAATTTGATTTATTTTATACTAAGCTATTAATATTTTACTAAAAACACCGTTTATTAGTTTCCTTGTAGCAGCAAACGTAGTTGCTTGTTAAACCTAATGTTATTTAGATACATATATATAATATTTAATAGAAAATCAATTCAGACAAGTTTGCTTGTTTATATATTGATCAAACTTGGCAAATTTACCTATTTTATACTAAGCTTTTTAATATCAATATTTTACTTAAAAAACACACTTTTAGTTTCCCTTTAGCATCAAACCTAGATACTCTTTAAACCTAAATGTTAATTTATAATCGATTTAAACAAAAATCAATTCAGGCAAAGGGAAATTAGTCGACAGGTTTTCTGCGGCGGGGATATTTTTACATCATTGGGGGTTGTACCAACTTTGTTTAGAGTTATAATGGCTATAACATAGTATATTTTAAATCAAATCATTTAAGCAGTCTTTTTGAAAATCGGATTTTTCTGTTATTTTGTAGGTCTTTGGGAGAAAATCATAAACAATTTATTATAGTTCCTAAAAATAACTGTAAGAAATATGTTTTTTTAATGAAAAACCTGGAAATACAATATAGATTAGTACACACAAAATTTCAACAAAATTGGAACTCAGTCTGTAACTCTGTTCACACAGACCCACAACCACACAACAGACACAAACACACACATAAACACACTTCTGAAGTCCGAACCACATCTTTTTGTTTGTGGGAACCAAAAAGAATATTTCCACCAAAAACTCAAAAATGTTAACAAAAAATATACTTGTTTAATATAAGTTACTATTTTATGGGGGAGATACTAAAAATTAGGTGTGGTCATGATAAATGAGTGCCTACAATACCTTCAGAGCCAATGCTTCACGTTGTTTCTGCTCCTTCAGCACTGCGCTTGGACTCGACTGACTTAAACCAAGGCCTGACCAGGTAGAGTTAGGTACTCGCAAGTCTGTAGACTTGGGCTGGGCTTGCGTGGCTATAAACATCAAAATTTCTTTGTTCACTCATATAGCATTTTCCTACCATCAACCATTATTGGATTCACCACATGTTTTTTCTTATCTCATTAAAAAAACATTTAAACATGATATCATAAAAAGGTTTCAGTCGAAACACATGCGGAAAGGATGAGTATAAATAAGTAAAATGTCTGCTTTGAGGTGCAATACGAACCCACCACTTATTTTATCCAAATTTGTTGTTTTTTAATGGGCTATCAATTAACAACACTTTTCAACGAATTTTGACCCCAGATGGTAACAAAAAAAGGGTATGACTGTTCTCAAACTTAAAATGCTATTGGCAGAGATTAATACCAAACAAGTTTATTAATTGTAATATATTACATTTCATTCAGTGCAAACCCCCAGATTAAAGAGCAGCCAAAAGCACCTAAAAAAGGTAAACTAAACAATAAATCATTTAGGTACCCAATCTATTCTTTAACTTGTTTGTTGGTTGAGTATTGTTATTTGACAATCAATTGATTTAAAATCTGTTGATTTGATGCAATTTCATTGAACAAAGGAACATTAAATAGCTTCCTCCATGTAGGCAAAATTAACTACTGTAACGCTTTTAGGGTGTAATTTCTTTTACCCCAGAAAAATCACATCTGGGCGTAAGAGCTTTTATTTGATTATGTTTAAATAATGTAGGGTTAAGATAAACCCTTGAAAATCAATAATAATATAGAATGGGTATATGGTAAAGGAAAGATTGATAGAAGAGCAAAGTTTTCAAATACCTTGATTTGCTTGCATTTTTAGGTTGTGGTAGTCAAAAAACTTCTTGTGACGTTCAAATCCTGGAGCTTTCAGTTCGTTGAGGTCAGTTGTGAAAACGTTGTTATTGTCTGAAACAGTTTTGACAATTTGATGACAAATTTTAACAGGCATACAGAGTAAAACCAATTAAAATGTTTAGAACTATAAATTTAGTTTGTTATTAAATTGTAGATATTTAGAAAAAATATGGGAAAAAATAAAGCAATAAAAAACTTTAAAGTGTCAAGAGGAGTTCACAGAAAGGAGGAGCACTCTATGTACAGGTACACCCAGGATTTATAGCTGATTCATAAAATGTTTATACAGGGTGTCCCGGAACTCTCTACCAATATTTTAGGGCATTGCTCCTGGGTAAGAAACATACCTAAATATCATATTTAAATTTTCCTGAAGTTCTTAGTTACTCACACATCCGCCATTTTGTTTTTTCCAGTTATTAATTTTTTTCTAAAGAATGGTTAAACATACGAAATGGAAACTTTGCACAAACATTTATGACAACTAGTCAAAGCTACAAAAAAATTATGAAGATTTTTCAAATTCATAAAACAAAATGGCGGCCATTTAAAATTTTTGTAAAATGTTTTTGAGTTAGTATTTAAGAAACAAAATTTTAAATGGCCGCCATTTTGTTTAATGAATTTGAAAAATCGTCATAATATTTTTGTAGCTTTGACTATTTGTCATAAATGTTTGTGCAAAGTTTCCATTTCGTATGTTCAACCATTCTTTAGAAAAAAATTAATAACTGAAAAAAACAAAATGGCGGCTGTGTGAGTAACTAAGGACTTTCGGACAATTTCAATATGATATTTAGGTATGTTTCTTACACAGGAGCAATGCCCTAAAATATTGGTAGAGAGTTCCGGGACACCCTGTATAAACAACCAGTTATGGGTGTGTTGCTAGCCCAAGGTTAACATCTCGGACTCCGGTGCGGGAGAGACGGGTTCAATTCTCAGCATCCACTAAACATTTATTCTCACGTTTGACCTCTTGTAAAATGCTACTGGCGTACAAAAAAACCCCAATCACTCAGCTATCAAACTTAAATTGAATGATAGGTTAAGTATTTTGTCTAACCTGATCTTTGGTCAGCTGACATGTTCTGCACAGGTGAAGCGTTGCGTGGACTAGCACATGGACTAGATAGTGGACTGGTGTTGCTACTCAGAGATGAATATCCTCCTGGAACACAAACAAGCGTCACTTTAAAACATTGGTTACATTAAATGAGTTATATTGGTCACTGAGATCACCCAACCCTCACCTCACTCTCCAGCTCCATCACCTCGGCAGTTGATAGTTCAATGTAACTATAGTCTTAAATAATTCACCCAACCACTTCTATAATACATCCTCCTGACATTAGTATACAGTACTCTACAGTGGTGACGAATACTGTAGTAGTAGTAACTATCATTAACACAGTTGCTCAATAGTACACAATTTTTCATTCATATGGACCAGCGACACATATGCGACGGCTAGTCACATTAAAATAGACTGACGTTGCATATTTGCGTTGGTGTTCCAATGTTATCAAAACGCTTGTATCTCTGTAACGGTCTATTTGAAGGCACTGAATTCTCTGCAGTGGTTTACAGGGATGTCTGACGCACAACTGCGTCGCTTGTTCTGTGGATATGATGATTGGTGATGTCATATGATAGTTAGAAAACCTGCTCTTTACTTTGCTGCATCACTTTATGTATGTAAATAATAATTATAAATAATACAAATGTCTTTATTAGCAAGCCTTTTTCAGAAGAATACATTCTGTTTTTCAAAACCACTTTTGTCCTTAATCCAAATAAACTATACATACAAAACAAACTATAAAAGAATCTATATAAATAATCTATGAAAACTATGTAGAAAACAATCCATACTAACAATCTATTAAAACAGTCAGCGCCCTAGGCACAACTAATAGTTTTTTTTTTTTGTCCTAGGACGCTAGGCACGAGCCTGGGATTGTTTTTCACATTACTTCAAGCTAGACCTAGGGGTTGCGGCATTAGCACTTAGATAACATCCATTGGTGACTTGGCGGGGATCAAACCCGCTCTAACCACTACGCCAGCTCGCTCCCCCAGGCACAACTAATAGTAGCGCCCCTTTGTAATATACATAACAGGGTGTCCACAAATCGGGAAAACTGGGAAATCCGTGAATTATGAGTGAGTTTTTTAAACCGGGAATTATGCATTAAATTTGTATTTCTACCTGGAATTTTAATTTTTCCGTGATCGCGCATGACAACAGACCGCCATGATGATATCAAAATCACGAGGGATGATCAGAATATTGCCGCGATCATGGAAGATGATAATTATTTCGACATGACCGCGGAAAATAGTCAGAATTTTGCCGCAATCGCGGGAGACGATTACGATGTCTACACGGCGAGGGATCATCAGAAGTTTACCGCGATCGCATGCAAATATAACCACAATTTTTTTTATTTTCCAATTTGTTGGCGCCCCCCAAAAAAAGCCAATTGCCTCGCGCCCTAGGCACGTGCCTACCGTGCCTATTCGGTAAATTGGCCCTGCAGAGCATTATACAAGGCGGGACCAAAGTATGAGAAGGTGCGCCTCCCCACTTAATGTCTGACATCTTGGCGAGAGAGAAGTCTCTCACACGGGTACTCAGGCTGGCCGAGCTCTATAGCTTTACGTTTCAGGCTGCAGATTAGGTATATACAAGTCTCTTTAGTTGGCATAATGTGTGCAGCGTTTCTGTAAGGGGTTATGTGATCTCTTCTCCTACAGAATTAATCTAGTTGATACATTTTTTAGTCGTTGGATTTTATTTAGGTAACCTTTTGTAATGCTTCTCGTATTTGCGTAAGTGGGAAGACAATAATCAAATACTGACAATACCAAGGCACTTACTAGTTTTATTTTAGCGCTCTCAAGTAAAACCCCTTTCAATCTATATAGACCTCGCAGCCGGCCAAGGGCTCTCTGATACATGAGTTTTTTTTAATGGTCAGATAGCGTCAGGTCTTCATCAATAGTCACTCCAAGCGTTTTTAATTTCTCGCATACATTGATAGCTTGCCCATTTATTTCAAATTTTCTGACCCTGCCTTGCCTGATTTTGCTTAATGTAGGGTATTTTGTGACGCAATATGGAGAATTGTTCAGTTGTTGTATGTGTATTGTCCGGTTTCAATCTATGTATCTTTGACCATACAGATATAGCATTCAGTTCATTATTAATGGCATTAAAGGCTTTAACGTAAGATGCTTTATCATAGGACAAATGAATCTGGCAATCAGCATATAAATGTAAATGAAATTGCATGTTTTTACAGCTTATGTAATGCCAGTGGTATATATATTGTAGAATATTGGCCCTAAGCACGTTCCTTGGGGAATCCCTCTATCTTTGACATGGAAGCTGATACTTTACCGATGATTTTTGTTACCTAAGTTCTATTGTTGAGGTAAGATTCTATCCATTTTACTGCTTTGTCATTAAATCCATAGTGGAGCTTGGCCAACAGCAATTTATGAGATAAAGAATCGAACACCTGGGAATAGCCCAAAATAATACATAATTACGGAGCTACATTTACTATTATCTTTCAAAGAGATCACTATACAAATTTAAAAGTGAAGTGCAAGTGCTACATTTTTTTCTGAAACCTGATTGCTGCTTTGGTCAAATGTTTTCTTTTTCGATAAATTCTTAAATCTGTTTAACTACAATTTTCTCTAGGACCTTTGATAATGTTGGCAATACTGTTATTGGTATCAGATCTTTAACATTCGTGGGTGCTTATTTTTGGGCAGTGGGTTCACAATATATGTACTTTCTTTCCAGGCATCTGGGAAGGGAAGTATCCTGTAGCATAGACTAAGCAACACAAGTAGACTGCTCATCCCATTGTAAATTTTGAAGCTTGTTTTTTGTGTCTAGTTCATGTACGTCCACACTGATCACTGGGGTAGACAACATTTTGTTTCTGTTATTTTAGGGTTATTTTCATGATTTGTGCTTTACTATTTGGTTGTATAACTTGGAGATTAGTTATTGCTTATGATTACATCGTTTTATTTGGTTAAATGAGGTTTTAAATGACTAACAAGAAACAAATTGTAAACAAAACATAACCTCTACAGTTGGACGTACAGAACTAACAATAAAATTGGCTTCAGCTGTTCCATAGAGATGACAAATCTACTAAGGGAGTATGATTTATCTATGCCTGTAGTTAGTGACTGGTTTACCAAATGAGTGATTACTGAAAGACAGTACAGACTCATTGATTGGTTGACCTTTGCTTTTGAGCTTATCCCATTTATTACTTTTTGAACCTCTCTAGTTCTGTTATGTTAACAAACTGAAATGCTATGATGCCATGTATTTTATTATTTTATTTTATTCAATTAAGTTTTGACTCGGGATAAAATTAGATCCCATTTCAACGAAATATTTGTTAATCTCATTAATGCTGACAAAAGAATAATCGTTTGGTATATTATCATCACCTACACTGCAGCTTCGCATGACTGACCAGAACTCACTTGGTTACTTTGAATCACTCAGGGTTTTTGTTTTTATGTAATAGGACTTTTTTGCTTTGTATACAAATACATTTAACTCATTCCTAATAGTTTTTTACTGTTCCCAATCCCTGCCATCTTTAGTTTGCCAATACTTCCATCTAAAGTTATTCTTAATTTTTGATAATTTGATCATTTCAGTTGTTCTAAATGGTGTTTTTTTCTTTGTAACCTGCCTATGCACTAGAGGAGCATGTTTATAAAAAATTGCCCTAATATTTAAGGAAATATATTGTTCTAACCCATTGGCGCCAACTTACGAGTGCCGCTTGTGTCACCGCTACGCAGCGCCACTAGTTACTGTTGTGCCCTTAAATATATTAAATTAAAACCCATTTTGTTAGAGCCACTTCTTTCATTGTATTTAATAACAAAAACCAAAAACTTAAAGTAAACATGAAACAATAATATATCAAACCAGATGACAAGCAAATAAACAAACTATTAATGTAGACCTCAGGACATCTCCCTCTTAAAGTTCTTCTATGAACCTCTTGGCAGGTTTAACAATTCTGGTAGGTCTGTGTATGGTTGAAGAATGATTATGTAGGTTGGATCTTGGTGTATGTGTCTGTCTTGGAGGAAGTGTCTGTGTATGGGGGTTTTCTTTATCAGGATTTTCTCTTTCTCCAGAGGAGAACATAGGGAATAAGAATTTTGTATTCCTGATATATCTTCCTCCCTTTTTTGTTTCAACGTTATATTTCCTGTTCTCTAACTTCTCCTTGATTACCCCTTCTTCTCTTCGGTCCGATACCCAAACTTTAGCGTTTTCTGGGTAATCCTTGACCTGGGTCACTCTATGTCTTTTATTGAACTGTTGTTCCTGTTTCCTCTTTTCTTCCATTTGTCTAAGTCTATATCTATTGTGATTTGGTGTGGCTGGAAGTAGAGTTGCTTTATTCACTGGTAGATTTGTTCTTAAAATCCGTCCCATTAATAGTTGTGATGGGCTATTCTTACACTGCCATTAGGTTTAGGTCTTACCACCATTGGATGACACCACTCCGTAGGTCCGCAAACTTCTTCAATGATTCCCGCTTCAACCATTCTTTTAAGTTCATTTTTCACTTTTTCTCTTAATGGAATAGGTATGTTTCTAGGAGTTTTTATTTCCATCGGTACCGCATTTTGTTTCAGTTTAAGTTGAGCTCCTTTCTTCATCTTACCAATCCCATTAAATAAACTTGGATATTTATTCTTGATCTTCTGTAGGTCTGTGTTGATATTCTGGTTGCTACAATATTCACTTGACTGAATGTCATTTTTAACTCCTCTGATGACCCTTAAGAACCCTAGGGCTGAGATGCATGGTTTCCCAATCAATGCTTCCTCTTGACCATTGATCACATATATTGTTTGACGAGTTGTTTTATTCTTATACTGAATTACACCTTCAAATTTACCTAAAACTGTTAAATACTTCCCCCCAGGTGTTTTTAAAACAATGTTTGATTTAGTCAATAATTTGTTTCTAGCCATTCTTGGAGGCACAATCGTCACGTCGGCTCCACTGTCAATCTTGAAATGTTCCAATTTCCCATCAAGTTTTACATCAATTTCAAATTCATTCTGTTTATTGTAGTTCCTTGTTGTCGCTCTTATTTTCTTAACTTCAGCTCTGTTAATGTAATACCTGTCCTCGCTTCTATTATCCTGTTCCAATCTGTTCTCGGTATTTTCCTGAATTTGATTCAGGGTTGGGTTTCTGTATTTATTGTTCTGATTTCTGTATTTATTATTCTGTCTCTTTTTACAACATCGGCTGAAGTGTCCTTGCAATCCACAGTAGTAGCATTCAATATTCTGAGCAGGACATTCCTCCTTAGGATGCCTCTGTCCTCCACAGTAAAAACAATTAGAAGTATATTGTCTTATGTTTTGTTTCAAGTTCGGATGTTTTTTCACTTGGTCTATTTCTGCAAAATCTTGTTCTCTTGATCTGTTAACAGTAATTTGTTGGTTCTTTATAATTTCACTTTGTTTCAATCTATTTATTGTTTCATGCAAGGTTAGGTCAGCCATCAGTTGAAGTTCCTTAGATAACTTTGAATCTGTTATTCCAACAATGAGTTTATCCCTAATAAGGCTGTCTTTCATGTCTTTGTAATCACATGAAGAAGCTAATTGATGTACATCTGTTATAAAATCGGATATCGGTTCATTTTGCTTTTGTACTCGTTGATTGAATTTCGCTCTCTCATAGGTCAAATTCACCCTTGGTGTAAAATACTTATTAAGTTTTTCCACCACTTTATCATAAGTCTTTTCATCTTCTTCTGTTACTCCTGCTGCTATTAATACATTTTCTGCATTATCACCCATGGATATTATAAGGAAATTTACTTGCTTTTCTCCATCTATTTGATCTAAATTGGTAGCATTTCTGTACCTATTGAACTTTTTTAACCATGAGCCCCAATCTTCTGGTTTAAAGGAGTATTTATCAATGAAGCCCAATGTTGCTGAATGTTGTGTCATTTTAGATGTTTGTCTTCTTACTGTTATATCTGAGTTTTCTGAGTCTGACATTGTAATGCAGCATATATATTAGACACCCTGTTACTCAATTTATTGGGTCTTTACCGCTGCCACCATGTTGTGCCCTTAAATATATTAAATTAAAACCCATTTTGTTAGAGCCACTTCTTTCATTGTATTTAATAACAAAAACCAAAAACTTAAAGTAAACATGAAACAATAATATATCAAACCAGATGACAAGCAAATAAACAAACTATTAATGTAGACCTCAGGACAGTTACTTAATTATTATTAATTTCCCCCCTTGCCCCCTTTTTTGCTTCTTCTTACTTTTATTATGTTTATAAATATCATTCTTCTTGTTTTGCGTATTTACTCATTTATTTTTGCGAATGACAAACAATGTTGTGTTGCCATGGAAACCAGCTGTGGTAGGTAAACAAACAATTGTTTTTCTATTTTATTACATATAAAGGTACACAACTTCTGATTTTTCTACGTAGGGAATCAATTGAACTTTATAATAGTAGTGTCATTTGGTGACTGGATTAATCTTGGAATTTGTAAATCAAGATTACTTTCAAAATTTAATTTTTTTAATTTTTATAATCCTTATAATTTTATTTATTTTTGTTTTACACTTTGACTATCCAATTACCACTTTTTTTTGTGAGCAATTTTAATGTTAACAAAATAGCGAAAGAATTATGAACTTATTACCTAAGGTTTTCTTTCTACAACAATTAGAGTAAAAGTCTACAAATTCGGTAAAATTAATTGCCGACAGAGGGTGCTGCAGGCAGCGCATTAATTCCTTCCCCAATGGGTTAACATTTGTTTAGCACATCCCCGGTCCACTGCCGCCATATCTCTCACTGCACTTGCTATTAACAATTTCTAATAGTCTCTGTACGATACCATCTTACTTGGCTTCTTTTCTTAAATTTAAACTCAATGGAGCCATGAATCATTTTGTGGTAAGTTAAATTAACTCCCCATGGTCTCTTATGTTTGAGGTATCAATCACTCCACACCTAAATTATTTTGTGCTGTTTTTTAGAATTACTTTTTTAAACAAGACAGATATAAATCTCAATGCTGTTTAAATGTGTGTTTTGCGCTATGAAGATGATCTGTAGTAACCATCGACATATAAAACTAACTGGATTGCGCGCAGGCCGTAAGGGTCGTGTAGAACTTTCCGAGCCAATACAGGAGTGTATCGGGGTTGCCGCATGGGCAAATTGAAGGCAGCATGTGGGATAAAGCGCGCGAAACCGTGTCTTCGACACTTGACCTTGGGCGCACGTGCGTGTTACAATAACCTCCTTCAAAAACTATTTTGTTAGCATGTAGAACCTTTGCTGGTAACGTTTTTCTTAATCATATTTGGCGAGGAAAGCCATGACATGAAATTAATCAAATTAATTGGTATTATGTTTAACAAAATTATATGCCACAGCATTTCTAAGCGTAAAACAGCAGAAGCTTCTCTGTCAAAGCTTGGTATGCGGCAGAAGTTAAATAAGCTTATTCTTTTTAGCAATGTTTAGGCTAAATATGTTTCTTTGTTTTACAAAGTTTCCTAAATATAATGTTCTTATACAATCTAACCTCGTTCTTACTAATACCTTACCCCAGAATATTTGGTATTTTACGAGAAACTGATAAAACCCATTTTAACATAAACTATTTTGTATTGTTACATTGAAACATAATTGGTTTCGTTAGAGTAGTAAGTGAAGAAAGAACAAAGTCGTAAAGGTTTCTTAATTGTAATATTTTATTACTTTTACTAGCTGTGTGCCCGTTCTACGCACGGGGATCTTATAGTAGTCAGTTGAAACCTTCTTATATTAAGAACAGCAGTTGGTTTGCATATTTTCAGATATGCTGGAAAAACTATTACCTAATAAACCTTCGCAAATACAGTATCTGATTGCTTCAAGCCAAAACAAATGCTTCGCAATTAAATGTCACGCGGCTCGTGTTGGTCCATATGTTAAATCCAATGATTAAACTAAAAAGAGCTTTATAGGCCTAGATCTATGAGGCATATCCCTAAGGTAAGTCTATAGTTGAAAGTTAGTTCCACAATGGCTAAAAGTATTTAAACTATTGCCTCAACCTCACCATTTAACACTTTATTCGGGTTGACATTTTCATTACCTTTTTTTCGTGACATTGAGAAAAAGGACACTAATGCGTTAGCAACAGACATACACACAAAAATATAGAACTTAATTAAGGAATTTGCAACGCTTCAAGCATAACAAGTACATATAAAATTAGTATTTGAAATCTTTCTCAAAATCATAAAATTTTATCATAACAATTTATATTTGCTTAGACCGAAGATGACCCGATACTGTCAAAATGACGGCTTACAATATGAAATGAAGTACTATTAGACGATTTAGATTGGTAATTTATAATACAAATTACCAAAATAGGCCACGAACTATTGATACATGAACAACGTAAATCGTAACGATTCATGATGGTTTGCTAAACAAATGTTTTACTAAAATGAGTTATCATTGTCTTAGCATAAACGAACATTTTGGAATCCAGACAGAAAAAGCAAAACTTATAGGTACAGTTAAGACATCAATTAAATTGAATACGGCTGTAATAAGGTGCAACACCAACGATAACTTCTTTGTATCTAATATATATTTATATAGATTCCATCCTTAAAAATTTAAAATCGGAATTTAAATTATATTTCTTAAGGAACCTCAGTGTGAAATATCCGCCGTCAGTTAATATTTATTAATTGTTGTAATTAATAACTAAAAAAACTCGGTTATTTACAGGGTTATTTTTACACTTTTATTACTTGTACAAAAGTTCATGAAAATTGATTATTAAAATGCCTTACATCGTTTTAGTAGAGAGTAAAGGGCTGGATAAAGTGCATCGTCCTGGCCGCGACAATGCTAAGATGTGGCGCAGCGAGACGCTTAATCCCACATGACGCCTGCAAAATCTAAAACGCAACCCCGGTCGTTGGCTCGGGTCGCGGAGCCTAGCAGCCGATCCAGTTAGTTTTATATGTCGATGGTAGTAACAGACTACCAATGTTGGTACAGGTACCTGATTTTATGTGTTAAGTAAAATACACTTTATAACATTAAAAAAATGCCTTGTGCACAAGCTTAATCTGAATAATTTTGTAGATAGATAGAAACAATCCCCCCGCCGCAGCAAACCTGCAGACTAAGCGAATTTCAACTCGTCTGATTACATTTTTACTAAAATATTTCCATAAATAAGTCATATTATTCCCTATTTAAATAACATTAGATTTAACGAGTGCTTAGGTTTGCTGCTACGGGGAAGGTAAAAAGTGTTTTTTGACCATACGTCAATAGTATAGGATGAAATAAATAAATTTGCCAAATTTTATCAATATATACCCATAAACAAGTAAACTACAACAATTTTCATTTTCTCCATAAGAATAACATGGGAATTTTTAATTACACTATTTTTGAATTTTCTCCGTGACCGTTAGGCATACAACAGCGCTTCAATATACTAAATTATTTCTTTTTTTAAGCTCTACAAAACGGTTTGGAAAGAAATCGCAAAATTTTTTGTTTTTAGGTTCAAAAATGGGAAAACCCCATTTTTACCCTATAAAACCCCCCATAAACCCCCGTTCCCATGGTCCGATTATGCTGGATCGCGAACTCGTTCGAATAAACGTAGGTTTACACGTTTGTACCAAATTTCATCAAAATCGGATCATTTTTGCTCGAGTTATCGCGCTAACGGACACATATATATATAAATATATTTATAAATATATATATAAATATATATATATAAATACATACTGTATATAAATATATATATATATATATATATGAATTTGAACAGATGGTGTTTTTGGCCTCTAGGGACCTCAAAATGAAAAATTAAATCGGTCTCGGGTCCAGGTCTTACCATGAGTACTACGGTAATAGCTTATTCCCTATATGGGAAATTCGCTAAAAATGATAAATTTTTATCAAAACACATTGTAAATTCAGAACAGCAAAATCAAATCTCACCAGCAATATCAGGCATTGACAGGGAATGTCCGAGAGTGTTGTGTTGCTGTTGACCACGTGGTAACAGATGTTGGAGTAGCAAATGTTGCTGAGGGACCAGCTGATTGTATGGTACAGTCAGCTGGTTCCATCCACTGAGCTCCGGGACAGGTGATTGGCTGTGAGGAGACAAAAACATGTTGTTCACAGACAGACAGTTGGGACTCAGCATCTCCACATTACCTGCAAAATACGTATCTCAGCACTTGTGAGCTAAACTTGGAAAATGGGAAAATCTTTAGAAAAAAAGTTTTACTCTAGGACAATTAGATTAGCATACAGTATTTACCAAATTGGACCTCATAAATCATAGTCTCAAACACAATGCTTTATTTGCACTACATAGTCCATCGTCATAAACTTGTCACAGTTTATAAAAAAATAAAACTATTTTGTATGATGTTTTACTTAATTTGGAAAATGGCACAATATTAAATAAAAACCTTATAAGACATAAGACATGTTTATTTCCAGTAGACATATTACAAATGCATTGGAAGAGTCAAAACATTTTTCATGCAGAGCAGTTGTCAAATTGAGAAGTAAGTTACAAGGTATACTTTGAAGTCTACAAAAAAAATTGTATTTTAAGTTATTTAATTATTGGTCTTAAACTAATATCACAGAGTTTATCACTATCGAGAAGTAAAAACAACCACTTAAAAGTTAGCAAAACATTACAAAATTAGACAGGTTGTACTACAAGGCATTAGGTGAAGGCATAAAAGTTAGACAATGACAACTAAAAACATAACTTTGACGAAGGAAGGTCTAAAAAGTCTTTGAGTTCGTAAAAAGGATTAACAGCTAGCCATTGGAACATTTTATGTTTAAAAGAATTATATGGGAGAGAGAACATAAAAGTAGGTATCTTATTAATACATTGCATGCCCACTATTTCATAGCTTTTCTTAGATTTTTCCAGTCTAACATAGGGAATGTCAAGTTTATCTCTGAATCGAGTATTGTGCTGGTGGACATCTTTACGCATTTGAAAGCATTTAAATTCTTAAAACTAGTTAACAATAAATTAAAAATATACAAGTTAACAACAGTGAGAATTTTAAAATCAATAAAAATTGGTTTATGGTGTTCAACAACATCTACTTTGGCTATTATTCTTAGAATCATTTTCTGAATTACAAGAACCTTTTTTACATGTGGGCTATTTCCCCCACCTTCATTTGCATCTGCTGATATAGCATGCAACTGTGGTAAAGAATGTGCTTAATATGGTTTGTTGGTATCTTAAGGGACATTTTTATATACAAGTTCAACCAACAAAGTGTTGTGTTTTTAGTTGACTTACATGTGTGATTGTTGCACGTATTTACTGCTATTTGATTGACCCCAACATAAGTGGAAGGTATGTTGGCTACAACGGCTGGCTCCTTCAGACCGATGAGTTGGCGTCGAGCTTCGTAAATATTATCTAAAAGTAAAAGAGCACTCTGTATAGTTGGGCAATAAATAAGTAATAGTATGAGAAAATAAATAGTAAGTCATGGAGTATAATGAGGGAACAAGAAAAATCTTGTAAACAGAGATAAAAGAAAGATTATAAATATATTTTTTAAATAACAGCAAACTGGTAGTGGCTCTAGGCCTAGTAACACTAATGTTTTCAAGTGGGAGGAAGTGAGTGCCAAACAAAGTTGCCTCTATTGTGTCTGAACTGAGCAACTCCAAAAGTGAAGGTGTCACGGAGTACACACGGTGTGCGTATTGTAAAAAAAATTTGTTCTTTCATTGTTCATCCCCTCACCTTTCTTATCAACCTCATGTTAAAATCTGGCATTTTTCCTGACTCCCTTAAAGTATCAAAGATCACTCCAGTTTTTAAAAAAGGTCTAGAAGCAGTCCAGAAAACTATCGCCATAGACAAAAAGAATTAAATATAGACCGTCAGCTGTGCTGCAGTTACCATAAGTTCTGGCACACACCACTGGTAGCGCCATGTAGTTACGGCATACGTGCTACGTAGCTACAAGGCGCTCCAAGCCGCCAGAACTTATGGTAACCATAGCACAGCTGACAGTCTATATTTAATTCTATTTGTCTATACTATCGCCCAATTAATTGTTCCCATCAGTAAAATTGTTGAATCATGTGTTTTTAAGCAGCTGTATGAATATTTCTCAGTTTATAATTTACTGTATGATCATCAGTATGGTTTCAGACACAAGCGCTCCACAGCCATGGCTGTTAAAACAGTTGTGGACTATATTCTTAAAGGTTTTGAAAGGAAGCTGGTAGTTGTTGGCACCTGCCTAGTAGACTTAAGTAAAGCATTTGATACAATCTCTCACAATTTTCTCTGTAGAGTAAATTAGGTTTTTATGTTATTATATCAACAATCAAGAGTTAAGCTTGTTAAGTTTATATTTAATTAATAGAAAACAGATTGTTGTAATTAAGGATACCACTTCTGAAATGCTTAATGGAACTGCTGGCGTTCCCCAAGGCTCCATTTTAGAGCCTTTTTTGTTTCTTGTGTGTGTTTAAGAACGACATAAGTTACAACATTCCAGTACTGAGTGTTTTGTATGCTGATGACACAACTTTTGTTGTATCTGCGAAAACTGAATGTGATGTTAAAACTCAACTCAACAATGCCTTTTCAACCGCAAAGTCATGGTACTTAGCCAACAATCTATCCTTAAATGAAGATAAAGCCGAATTCCTGTGCTTTTCTTTGAAAAAATCAACTCTACAATAACCTCACTAAACCTGTCAAACTTCTTGGTACCTATCTAGATAGTAAATTGACTTGGGAAGAACATGTTTCTCAACTTTCTAAAAAGCTGTCTCGTATTGTCCTTCTGTTAAGAAACCTTAAGCATAGTGTCAGCTTAGAAGTTCTTCTGATGACATATTTTGGTCTCTTCTACTCTCATATTAGCTATGGAATTCAATTGTGGGGAAACTCAGCTGCCTCCAACAAAATATTCACTTGGCAAAAAAAAAAAAAAAAAAAACCTATAAAACCTATTAGGACTATTATATGGGTCTTACTAAACTTGAATCTTGTAAACATAGTTTTTTCAGCTCAATATTTTAACTTTGCCATCACTGTATATTTTTTCAACCTTATGTATGTAAAAGAAAATTTCGCTAACTTTCCCATGCAGCACAGCAGTCATCATCACAACACTAGAACCATAGATTAAACATACTTGTTTAATCTATGCTAGAACTAAGCACAATATTGTTACACCTTATATTAGATGAAGTAAAACCGTCAAATGCTACCATTATCAACAGTATCTATTGTTTAATGAGTAACCATTAGAAATTAGAACTCTGTCTGTAAATAATTTTAAATCGTATGTAATGGCATTCTTAAAAACAAAATGCCTCTTACACTGTAGATGATTTTTTTACTTGTAGGTTAAGCCACCAATGTCATGTGGATAAAGTAGTATCTAAGTTGAAAACACAAAAAATGCTACATACACACCCCATGTGTTGTACTGATTGACGTTGCCTACTACTGTAATAAGTTTAATGCCATTAATAAATTCTTATTGAGTCTACGAAGACGTGACTACAAAATGTATTACTATGTATCAATAAAACTTACTTGCGTTTTTTTCTAAACCCTTGATTGTAACTGAAACCACATTTTGTTTAGGTTTGTTCCTTATTTGTATGATAACTTCATGACTATGCATGATTTCATTAATATCATTCATGTTGGTAGTCAAATAGTTCTCAGGCACATCAAAGATCAAAAGAAGAGGTAACATTCCCTGTAAACAATAATTATATAAATACAGTCTGTTGTTACAACAAAATTTATACTACCAAAATATTTAGTAATTTTTTTTAATGGACAGCATATTGTTATTCATACAAAGCTGAGTCTTGTAAAATTGTCAATTTTAATACTCTGAGCTTATGGTACTTTCTCCAAAAGCCAACCACAGCTGCACAAGCGTTTCTCAGTAAAAACTTAAACATTTAATGTTGTCCTCACACAGGCCATGGAAGAACAATATTTAGATTTATTAAATACCCCCGCCGCCGCGGACCTGTTGACTAAGTGAATTTACATTTGTCTTAATTGATTTTCAATTAAATCTATTTATACAGTATAACAGTAATATAATGAAGGAGAGCACTAAAGGAAGAACGGGAATTACTTGGAGAGTTTTTGAGCAAATGGAAGATTTAGAGTTTGCAGATAATGTTTGTCTTATATCAGCAACAAGGCAGCAGTTACAGTAGAAAACAGAAAAACTTAGAGAAAAGGCCTTAAAAGCGGGACTTAAAATAAACAAAAGAAAGACAAAATATATGAAGGTAAATTATGAGGCTTGAGGTACTATTATTCTTGAAAACGAGGAAGTTGAGGAAGTAGGAGACTTTTTGTATTTAGGTAGTGTTATAGAAAAGAATGGAAGAACAGAAAATTACGTAAAAAGAAGAACAAATAGAGCCTTTGGAGCATTCAGTGTTCTGAACAAAGTCTGGCGAACAAACAGTTTTTCACTTAAAAACAAACTAAGAACCTTCAATTCAAATGTAAAAAGTGTGCTGCTGTATGGTTGTGAAACTTGGAAGCTTAGCAGAGCAATAACTAATAAGCTACAAACATGTGTAAATAAGTGCCTGAGAAGACTTTTGAGAATAAGGTGGCCCAAAACAATAACTAATGATGAGTTGTGGCGTCGCTCAAACCAAGAGCCAATTGAAGTACAGCTAAAAAGAAGAAAATGGGAGATGAGTAGGGCACACCTTGCGGAAGGGAAATGGAGACATGGCTAAGGAGGCATTGGAGTGGAACCCACCTGGAAGCATGAGAGTTGGAAGACCCAGAAACACTTGGAAAAGGGCGTTGGTTGAGGAGTTGAAGGAGAAAGGAAAAACCTGGGAAGGGATCAAGAGGGAATCAACCAACAGAGGGTCCCAAACATACATACATAGTTCCTCTTTTATAGATACTAGTGTACATGTTGCTCGAATTCGAGCAATTGCAAAGTATTAGAGGATTTATTTCAAAACGAATAACAGTCATATTTACAATGAGTTTAAAAGAGTCAACTCAAAGATTACCGGTGTGTAACTCAGACCATGTTTATCTTCGTTATTGATAAACCTAAAGCATTCGGGCCGGTTTTCTCCTTCTCAAAATGCCTCGCTGTACAGGCAACACAGGTCATTGATAGAGGACCAATTGAAAACGAAAAGTCGTTTTGGGGTAGTGTTAGGGCGCATTTGTTACCTAATAGTTGAGATTGTCCAGGGTCAGGTGCTGACTGTGGTGAGTTAACCCTATTTATTACGGGGTAGCGGATTTTTATGCCCCTGGAATTTTACCCCCTGGCCAAACGTGACGTCACAAACCAGGGGGTAAAATTCCGGCCGCGAACTTTTGAGTTTCGCGACATCAGCTCAATGGATTAAACGTGGAATTAAACATATATTTTCAAGGTTGTGAATTTAATCAGAACTCTCGGGCTCCGCCCCAGTGGCTCTGGAGTTTCCCATGTTAACCTTATGAGTACTCATATTTAAATGGAATTAATGAATCTTAACAGCTGTTTTAATTAAACAAGTTGGTTCTGTTCTATGATGTTCAATAGCATTACAGTTACAAGGATTACCAACAGGGTGCAGTACTTAGTACTATTATTTTTTTTAAATTTATGACAACAGCTAATTTGCAACCAAAAGGTGAGTGAGCGTAGCGAACGAACTTCAACCTGGAGGCGAGTTAGCGTAGCGAACGAGCTAACCTGAAGGCAAGTGAGCGCAGCGAACGAGCTCCAACCCAAAGGTGAGTGAGCGTAGCGAACGAACTTCAACCAGGACGTGATTGAGCCATGCGAACGAGCTCACTTATGAAGTTAAACGGGGCAAAGCCCGCGGTTACAGCTAGTAGATATACAGGGTGTTTGGTACTCAGTGTGAAAAAAATTTTTTGGTGTAAGTACAAAGTAAATGCAGTATGATGATGCATATAAAATGTCCCAAGTCTAAAAATTAGCTTCCTAAAGAATTATTTTATGTTTTTCAAAAATAACTATGTATTTAAACTTAATACAGCTATTTCTCAATTACCTGTAAATGGATTTGAGTAGACAATGTCATTTTCGTGTTCTACATTAAATTTTGAATAAGAATAATACAAAATGACAGAGGATCAGTTGTAAAAACTCCATCGTAAATAGATTCAAAGATAAAAATTAAGATGTTTGGTAAAAATTCAAAAAACATTGGTCAATTGCATTTGTTCACACCCTGTATACAGGAAAGTGTCGGAATATGTTAAAAACTGCGCCATTTTATAAGCTTTCCAACCATATGCTACACTATTGAGGTTTAAATATTTTTTTGTTTATTTTAGTGGTTTGAATGCCAGAAAACAGGGAACTTTTTTACTGTTTTTACTGTTCAAGCTGAAACAAAAATACAACTTTTGCTTAATACATGCTGACTTTCTATGTTTTAAATGATAAAGACGCCATGCTTTGTAGTCTTCAAACCACGAAAGCGTACATAAGCAGACAGAAAGCTCAATGGTGTAGCATATGGTTGGAAAGCTTATAAAATGGCGCAGTTTTTAACATATTCCGACACTTTCTTGTATACAGGGTGTGAACAAATGCAATTGACCAATGTTTTTTGAATTTTTACCAAACATCTTAATTTTTATCTTTGAATCTATTTACGATGGAGTTTTTACAACTGATCCTCTGTCATTTTGTATTATTCTTATTCAAAATTTAATGTAGAACACGAAAATGACATTGTCTACTCAAATCCATTTACAGGTAATTGAGAAATAGCTGTATTAAGTTTAAAAACATAGTTATTTTTGAAAAACATAAAATAATTCTTTGGGAAGCTAATTTTTAGACTTGGGACATTTTATATGCATCATCATACTGCATTTACTTTGTACTTACACCAAAAATTTTTTTCACACTGAGTACCAAACACCCTGTATAAAAGGCAAAGCCCTCACTGACTGACTCACTCACTCATCACTAATTCTCCCACTTCCCATTTATCTTACCTAGGAGGCTGAAATTCGGTACACCGATTCTTTGGGCATTAAATAGGAAAACTAGTAGTTTTTATTCTGATCAGGCTTTCGGGCTCCGCACCAGTGGCTCTAGAGTTTCCCATGTTAACCTTATGATTACTCATATTTAAATAGAATCAAAGAATCTTAACAGCTGGTTCAACTAAACAAGTTGATTCTGTGATGTTCAATAGCATTAAAGAGTTAATAGGTTTACCAACAGGGTGCAGCACTATTATTTTTTTACATGTATGACAACAGCTTGCAACCAAAAGGTGAGTGAGCGTAGCGAACGATCTTCAACCTAGAGGCGAGTTAGCGTAGTGAACGAGCTAACCTGTAGGCAAGTGAGCGCTGTGAACGAGCTCCAACCTAAAGGTGAATGAGCGTAGCGAACAAACTTCAATCAGGACGTGATTGAGGCATGCGAACGAGCTCATCTTGAAAATTTAAGACGTTAAACGGGGCAAAGCCCGCGGTTACAGCTAGTAGTATATGTAGAGTATAGAATAGAATATAGAATAGATAGATAAACTACAACTGGTCCATGTTGATATATGTCTACCTCAGTGTCCAAAAGGCAGAGGTTATACACATGTATAGGATAACATAATATATCTGTTTAAATAAAGTCCTAAGTACTAACTTACAATAAGCTGTTGCCTGGCCAGATACACGCTGTGAATGTTTCCTGAGATCGTAACACTGCTTCGCTTCAGCGGAGGGATGTTCGGGTCTGTCGCATCAGGAAAGACGATGTTTACTCCGGTTCTGCGGATAATCTGCTTCAGATTCTCGTGGTTTTTACCCACCACAATGCTATGGTGTTGTGGGGAAATCTCCATCATCATGAGGATGGATACCTGTCCCTGATCAATCAATACACAACTATACAAATCACATACTGACGTTGCCGATGTCAGTACTACTACATAAAATACACTCGTATGTCATGGTTTGAAAATGTTCAAAATAATCTATGAATTGGATTGTAGGCTACACAGAATTTTACTTGTGATTTTTTTTAAAGAATACAATGGTGTCACACAAATTTTAGGTTATACACGTTAGCCCTTTGAGCTCTTGGAATATTTCATTGATTAAGGTATTTATATTTCTATCAAATTCCCCTCTCGTTTTGTAAACACTAGTTACGATTTTTATGAAACAAACTTCTTTTGTACAATCACACACTCACACAGTAAGAATATAAGTGAAATTTAGCAAACTGTCTGAGATGTCTCACAAAGATTCACCCTATCTGTCGACTCTCCCACGTCCCACCCATAGGTAGGTACATTGTTTATTTTAGGTGAGTACAAGTGCAAAACTTGACTCATGCCAGGTCAATGCACACGTCGTGTATAGTTTTGAACAAATTATGTTGAGCCGCACTCACATAAATACAAATAAGTAAAAGTTTGGAAATATGTTATGCTTTGTTGTCTTGTGTTTGATGTATCAGTTTTCGAAGATCAAAGAGTTGTGATGATGTGAATGTTTTAAACAAAAAAACTAATTGCATCAAATATAAATCTAAGCTGAGAATCTAGAGTACTTTTACTCACTGTGAGATAACAATTGTGTCACCCAATTTGCTTGTAAGTATATTTTTTCTATTTAAAAACAAAGATATTTTAGGTTTAAGATATTTTAAGCAAGATATTTTAAGCAAGATATTTTTCCTATTTTATTTACAAGCAACATTACCACATTTTACAGTTTTTTACACTGCATGTCATATGTCGACATCTTTCTGTGATGTATACCAAGCAGTAGTGGAGGGGGCTCTCTGCTTTTTCCGAAAAACATATATATATATATAAATATTTGTAAGGGACCCATATTTTTTTAATATTAACATATTTTTTTTGCGAATGGTGAGCGTTCCTGCCCTGGATAATTTACTACTACACCATTGATACGAAGTACATTAAGTGGTATGTTACAATAACGGTATGTTTAGCTACGCAATAATAGTATGTTATGTTACTAGTTCTGAAAATTTGGGTCTATCAAAAAACTAAAAGTGTGATCGTTCCTGTGCCAGAGGAAGTCAAATGCAGGATTATTATACGAGTCTGGTAAACACATTATGGAGTAACATACAATATTTTACGCCATACTACTCTAAGCTAACTTAACAATAAATAATCTGTACAGATCCTTATTTATTCACACCGACTACAGGACTAAAAATCACTACTCATAACCTCTAAGAGAAAAGGTTGTTTCTGTTAATTACCACTCATTGTCAAATATAATCAGCTGGTTGGTGTCTGGAAAAAGCTCATTTCAGTACAGGAGTATGTAATGAAACCCCGTTTGATTAAGCTGGTGGCAAACAGCTGTTTTCCAGACTAAATCTTTGCAAAGGAAGTTCGTTAAACTAGTGTAGTGTGGGGTAAAACCTATTATGGTACCAGTTAATAGAATCAAAATAATACTGGTGAAAAAATGTTATAATTTTCTTTGTATAAAAATACAGAAGGATCTTACCGCAAGGTTGTCACACATATGTTTCACCAGTAGATGAGTGGCTTCCTTGACCTTTGCCAACTCCCATTCACATCCCTTGACTAAGACCAGGGTGGAGTGAAGCTTTGGGCGGGTGCGGAACAGAACCTAGTCCAAGGTAAAAATAGCACATTTCTTTCTCGATATAGACAACTTAAAATTTCAGGAAAACACTTCAATAAGTCTAGCTTAGCTTCTCACTCATTGACAAGCAGGTAAGGAAACTAGTTTATTATGCTATATTAATTGTTTTATTCTTGATCATTTTCATATTAAAAATTTAAGGTCTATTGAAACTAGCTTTACTGTAGTATGTTTTTTATTGGCATTAGTTACCTGAACGTTGTACTTTTCCTGGATGCAGGAAATGTACGGTGAAGAAGCATCAGGTAAAGTATTTAGTGTTCCGAGAATCGGCAGCTCAAAACTGAAGATTAACGGAGTCAGTTCCTAAACACAGTCAATAATTGAGAGTTGACTATATTTAATACTAATTTAAAGTTACCTATTTCTAGCTTATAATATTAATAAGACAAGGCACCCTTTATTATTATTAGTTTTCTAATTTGATCTTTTGCTATTTCTTTTTAGGAGACTAAAATATACTTCTGATCAAGTTGCTAGTTCATGTACTCAAACTCAGATGGTGATTTTGAAGTTCTTAGCCTGTTTAGCACTGCTGCCACTCAAATTTATTAAAATTTCACAACACAGAGTAGAACCATAAACTAATCAATACAAGAAGACTTGTCTCATTCCATTGTATTTTTCGAAGCTCGTTTTTTGTGTCTAGTTCATGGCCGGTGACACTGATTGCTAATGTCGATGAAATTTTGATGTTATTATTTTAAGGTTAATTTAATAATTTGTGCTTTACTGTTCAGATATACAACTAGGGGACAAGTTATTGTTTACGATTAGATCATTTATTTGATTAAACAAGGTTTTAAATTACTAAAATAACAAAAAGCAAATTGTAAACAAAACACAACCTCTACAGTGCACCGGACAGAACTAAACAATAAATTTGGCTTCAGCTGTTCCATGTGAAATATACTAAGGAACACCCAAAGTGGTGTTCGTAGTATATTATTTACTCTCTTTACACAGGTTAAGTGTAAGAGAGGGCCATGTGGCCCTAACTTTGCCTGATTAAATAAATCATTTTTCATTTCATTTCATTTCAAAGTGGAAGATTCAAAGAACATATCCAAGCCGTAAAATCGAACAATAAAACATCCCAACGTTCAATGTATGCAGAACATATATTAGAAAACAATCATATTTATGGCAAATTAGAAGATTGTGTCAAAAATCTAAATTGCAACAATTATGTGATAAATGAAGGACTACCAAGAGGAAAGCGGCTCTTGGACTACGACTTCGCTGGAAGGACCAAGTGGAAAAGGACTTGAGAAGATTGGGGGCAGAGGCTCAATGGATGCAAGACGGAGAGAGATATGGTGAGGCATTGTTTGCGAGGCTAAAAACCCTCTGAGGTTGAGTGGACTAATAGGTAAGGTACATAACGGACTTGACGTACTGGTACGTCATCTGATGGAAATGGGTTAAAGATGACCACGATTTTTACCAAAGAAGACAAAAGGAAAAAGGTTTTTAACACCAATGTTTATACTTCCAACCCATTTCCCCACTTTACCCTCAATCATTGCATTAGGGCCAACTCTTTAGCAATCTGGCGATGAATGTCGGCATCGGATATGTTTCTTGTAGGCTCATCGTGCACACGGCGGGAGATTCAATAAATTTAAAAAAAAATTGTACAACACAAAGTGTATAAGTCAGCTCCAGAGCAGCAAATGATGTCATTTTGTTCACAAATGATGTCAGATAGTGGCAAGGACCCTCTTTGCGGCCTACATGCAAACTAAGGAGTTATAGGCAAAAACGGCCCTTACTTAAAACTGCCCTCATAACTTAGCATTAGGTACTTAGAGCTGAACTAGAACAAATAAGATACAGTATTGTATGGATCTCCATAGCTGTGTTTATCCATAGGCAGGCAGGTTACGGGTTACAAGCCTTTTATTGTCCTCATATTTAAAAATTGTTTAACAAGTTATAAAAATGCTAGAAATCGAGAAAATTTCTAATTCTGTACAATGCTTCTTTTTTTTTTTTCATTAAAGAATGATTCTTCATTAAACAAACCTTCCTTGCAGAAAAAGTAGTGATAGTTTACACCATGAAAGTAAAATTTTGGACCTTAAGATTTATGCAATATCACATCAAATGGAGATTTCACTAGGAATTATTGTCACTGAATGGCAACTTACATCTTAGTGTCCCTTTGAAAAGGCCGGTGTTTTTCTTGGTACAAATTTATGCGTATCAAGAATATTTGAAATTTAGTCAAACAGTTCTAGACATACCCTGACTCTAGCCCGAGCCTTCTCCACCCCTTCCATCTCCCCTGCGATGGACACCTGGTTACTCTTCTCATGAGGGTTGTTGCGGTTGGAGTCTGGGAAGTGTATGTGACAGCCTGTGTCTTGCATCACACTCTTGATGCTGAGTCCTCCTCTACCAATAATGTGAGAATGGTCTGTGTAGCTCACATCCAGCTTCATGGTCACTCTGTTGCTTTGCTGTAATGGAGAGTCAGTAGCGTAATAAAGTACAAAGTAGTAACATTGATTTGAACACATTTTGACATAGAAAATACCAGGGTAGAAAATTAATTCTATTGTAGAGTCTTAACTATTCTACTTTTGTTATCTGACCTTCCCTACAGGGGATTGTACTTTAAAATCATATCCAGGCCCCTGTATAGCGTTAATACTTTTCAATAATAACACCCTGGGCTGCCAACAGCTTTCATATCGGGGTTCAGGAGAACTTTGAAAATAAAAATAGCTAAAAACTAATTTCAACAATAATGCGCGCAATAATGTGTGTTTTTTTAGCAAACAATAAACACAATATTGTTTACAAAATCTTTGAAAATTTAGGGCCCCTAAAAATGGCAACTTTGGATTCATCCCAGTTAGCCCATATACGGAGTGTGGCTTATGTGTGGCATGACTAAACATTGTAGCAGGTACATAATTTGTATGCCGCCTGACTTAAACTCCAAAGATACGTGTCAAACTTAGCGCTTTTGACTGTAACTTACCTTTGTTTATGCATGTTTCATACCATCATAGATTTCAAATGCAGTTCATCAACTCATAAAATAGGTACCTTGTACTATCTCTCTTGTCTTGGTACAAATTGAGATCTGAGGCTGAATGAATTTGTGTCGCTTTATAACTTACTACATTTTAATCTTTTAGTAAGGTAAGGTAATATTTAGGGATACTGTATATTGGTTATAACTATTAACTTGTAGAGTGACCATACCCGTGTGTCCAGTACTGCCATAACTTTTGACTTTGCTGCCAACACATCATCTTCCCTTCCTGATATTCTAATGTGTGGATCTGAAAAATGTTGGAATAAAGTGTAGCTAAAGCTAATTCCATGCCATACAACCATTCAGCAATATGTTTGCTTCATTTTTTAGAGCCATCATAAACTGATGGAGTTAAATGTGAGTACACCGATATTGGCAACATTGTCAGTAACAACGTTCTGGCCTTCATTGGACTTGAAGAAATCTCTCTTATACCAACTCAAAACTTATTTGGTTAAAAATGATGTCCCAGTTACAGTGAAATATTTTAGTTTTTTTTATGGTGTAAATGTGTATGCCTTTCTTGTGGCAGACTGGCCTCTTCCATTTAGAATAAATTAATTTTACTGTGGATAAATTTACCATTTGTTGTTTGCAAAGCAGATGTAAAGGAGTTACACATTATGGTATAAAATATTGCATTTGGAATATATGTGACTTGGATATCATAAAACATAAAACATCCTTCCTAGCAAACCGTCGTCACTTGTCAGTGGCTTAAACTTGGATAAGTAACTGGACTTGAGTAAGATTAAACTAAGTAAAAGAATACCTTTTTTAGACTTGGCTCCAATCTTGAGACGAGATGGCCATGAAATGTGTGTGCATGTCTCATGCATGACCTGGAAGTGAAAATAGACTTTAACAGTTTCAGAGACAAGTGAACAATAGAAATCTAATGCTTAAATGTATTAAATGTTCAATGCATTATTTTGTCTCTGTCTTCTAAATTTCCAGATATTTATAAGGAGCAAATTAAAATAAATATATGGAGTTACCATTCAGTAAACTCTCTTTAATCCAGACCCCATTAATACGGATTTCATCTCATTTGGACAATATAATTTTACAGAAATTTATAAATGTTTCATACAGTACGGTACAGCTAAGTTTGAAATGGGTTATTGAAAAATACACAGCTTTATTGTAAAGTTTCCAGTGCCTAAGTAGCTTACCATAGGTACTTATTTATTTTTATTTCACTATTCTATTCAAGCTAATTTCTGTAAAAAGTGTTTCATTGTATACAAAGGCCCAAGAGTCCAAAGAGGCGCTGCCTTTCTTCATATTAAATTTATTTAATTTAATCCGGACTTTCAATGATCTGGACTAATTAATCCTCAATTAATTTATGGGGGTCTACTGTATATTGGTTATTATCATGTATTAAATTCAAAATACAGAAACACACTTTTATGAAATATTTTCATTAATTCTATAAAAATATATTTCTCTTAAGGCTTTGGTACCAGTTTGGCCATAGAGTATTATATAACTAACGGTATGTACAGTATTAATAATTTATCTACAGTTAGGCACCGAATTTGTTCTTCCTCTGAAGTAAAAAAATACCATTACTATTTCATAGGAATAAAAAAGGCAAAGATTTAAGGAAAGTAAAGGTTAAAATAAATAGTTTAGAATGGAATATCCAAAATAAAATGTTAATGAAGCGCCAATTGTTTACACCATATGTAGGGATGAAAACAATGTATATTTTAACTTACTCTTTGGAAAAATTCATCAGCTGGCTCCGTCAGTTCATCTGCCACTGAAAACCCCAGACAGGTTAAGTTAATGTGACAGTTATATAATCTTGTAACATTTTTGTATTTGATATTGAACCTGTACATTTTATTATAATAATTATTATAATTTTATTACTAGATTATCCAAAATTCATAGAGGTATTTCATTTTTCCATTAGTACAGGGTGGGGCAGGGAAATATCCCTACTTTTAAGATGTACTTAGCCCACAATTATTTTTGCATCAATGTCTGGTCCCTTGTTTAAATAGATGATCCAATCCAAACTATTAATTGCTTGTCCTCTGGTACTGTGACCAAAGTATAAAATAAAAATTGTCAACTGTTACCTAAAACAAGATAGAAACATGTAGTCAACATTATACATTTCCGGTACCAACATGAAACACACACAAAACGTAAATTTCAAACTTTAAATGAAATTAAATGTAATTTCTACTTTATTGAGGTGAACTAAGGACCTCGTGGTCCTTTCTGGCAGTTGACCTCTAAAAACGAACAATAATAACATAACTATAACTACAAACGAACTCCATATGTGCGGTATCTCATAACATTAACAGAATAAAAGCAACATACCTGTAGTCTGAAATAAAACAAAATAGGTCTAATGTTGAATAGCATTATCATGAATTTCTTTCCTGGTTATAATAATCATACTAATACCCCGTAGCGATCAAAAAGTTTGGCAAGATAGTTTGTGTCTACAGGAAAGGGTAAAGCCCGCTAATAGCCTGCTTCCTATAACACACAGTCACACACGTACACCGGCTGCTGCACTCACATTATTATAGGTTGATAAAGCTGTTTGCACTACAAAGTCATAATCTATCTATCTATCTATCCTATCCTATATTCTAATATGAGCAATGTTTGCTTGTATGTATGCATGTATGCATATATGTATGCTTGCTTGCTTGCACCAAGATCTCGAAAACGGCTCCGACGATTTTCTTAAAATGTTGTAAATAGTTTATTCCTGGCCTAAAAACGAGATAACTGCAGTTAGAACTGCCAACAAAATCTAATTATGTAGAAAAATGAAACTGAAAGTCAAATTTTTTTTAACATTATTAGTCTTATGGGTTGCTAAGTAACCATCTTGGCTGAATTAAATAACAACGAAAAAGTAAATAGAAGACTTGTAAGTTGTCTATCAACAGTATAATAGCAAATTAAAAATACAGTACAAAAAGTACATCAGTTGTTACTTTTGAGCAAAGATTATACTGAAGATTACTCGATACATTGTAGTCAAGGGTAGCAGTGCGGAGTGTGGAATCTGTTTGTGACGATTAGATTACGGTATCTGCAATCCTTAAATGCTATGGGAAGGGAGGGAAACAGGTCCGCGACGTAGGAAATGATGAAGGAAGTAGTAAAGGTGAGCAGTCTGGAGTGTGGGAACTGTTTATGACGATTAGATTAAGGTATCTACAATCCTAAAATGCTATGGGAAGGGAGGGAAACAGGTCCGCGACGTAGGAAAGTGATGAAGAAAGTATTAAAGGCGAGCAGTCCGGAGTGTGGGAACTGTTTATGACGATTAAGGTGTCTGCAATCCTAAAATGCTATGGGAAGGGAGGGAAACAGGTCCACGACGCAGGAAGTGGTGAAGGAAATAGTAAAGGCGAGCAGTCTGGAGTGTGGGGAATGGATCCATGTATCTGCAATACTAAGACTGCTTTCAGAGTCAACTAATGATGTTCCCCGAGCAAAGCTCGGTTCCCAGGTACTAATACGCTACATCAAACTTTGTGAACAATAATGCTTTTTTGTTTTAAGATTTAACCCCACTTGTTATATACCAAAATGTTCGTCTGAGTGTTTAATTTTGCAAACTGACCTTACATTTTTGATAGATCCCTTGGGCTCTGCCCCAGTGGCTTTTAAAGTTTCCATGCTATCCTAATGAAGAACATATTTGTTTACATCATGATCAGCTGGATAATTTAATTGCTGTTAACATTTTAGTTGCAATTTAAGGAAACGTGTGCTACAAATATTTACTGACTTGGGTAAAATGAAATATTTACTATTTGAATTTGGGTTGGCGTAAATATTACAATGGGAAAATCGAGAAAGCCTGGACAATTTGATACACTAAAAAAAAAAACTGAATTAACACTGAGCTACATTTCTTGAGGAATCATTGAAAGAGAAGATTTTCAAATTATGGAAACACTAGCAGAGTACCCGTCCTTCGTACGGGATTGGCATATAAGTATCAAATGCTTATTGCATTTATACTCAAGGTTTGCGTTTAGAATGGTGGAGGACACAGTTTGATAAAATTTCATTCTTTAAATTTACGGTATAGGTACTATAGTATTACCTTTGACTCTTAGTCAATGGTATTACACATCTATTATACCCATAATTAATGGCCTAAGTATAGTAACTACTACTACTAGTAGTTCTACTACTCAGGCCTACATCGTAAATATTTCCATAATCTTTGAGTGGACTCTTTTAAAGTCATTGGAAATTATGACTGTTATTCGTTTTAAAATAACGCCTCTAACACTTCGCAATTGCTCGAATTCGAGCAACGAGGTACACTAGTTCTTATTATCCACTCAAGTTCAAATAAAGATTTATGTTGATGCAGATTTCCAATCATTTATTAATATCCCAAAGGGACTTTTATTACAAAAAACAACAAACTTCAATAACATTAACAGGAGGCTTATGAGACGGGTTTTTAAATTCAACCAGTTGAATTTTAATTTCATTTGGGAGGAATAACAAATTATATTATAGTCTAAAAACCCCCTTCAAAAATGAAAGTAAATGCATAAAGGAGTACAAAGCATGTGTAATTATCAGTATTCAGGACTAGTTGTGGTTTGCGAAGAATAAATATTGGCAGTAGCTCAAAAGTACTAAACGATAAACTCACACAAGGATAGTACAGTAGTGCTCGACTAATCTGTAGGTTCGATCCTGATAATGATTAGTTTGTTCCAGCTTGTTACGCTAGGCAAACAAAGAACTGATGCAAATGTATTCGACTTGGGCCCGTTTAGTCAATTGAAGAAAGCAAGATGCATCAGATAGTAGGCCTACAATCAAAATTCAAGTACGAGTAGAAATTAATACAATATTTTTATATTCGAATCATTGAAAATATCGAGGAGTATTTCTTTGTATGCTGTGTAACATGGTAATAATTAATTAGAACAATAAAAAATGCAACCAGATAAATACAATAGGGTGTATTTTTTAATGGAAAAATAGTTTTGAACACTTTCCTCAGTCACAATCCCCATACTTGAATCCCTTCCTCTTTCATACTAACTAGGAAAATGTGTTAGTTATTATCAGTAAACCTGTTTATCTGCTAATCTCTACCAAACATACGAAAAGGGGTTTGTAAACTTGTTACCTATTAAATTTAATCCCAAGGGATAAAAGATAGTTTAAAAATAACCTAAACTTTTTTCAAACATGCAGATGTAAAGAACACTGAAAAACTGTCATCAACAACCAGTCTCTCATTTTCCTGTGAAACACGAACAAATACTGGTTACTTCGCATTAACAGATGGACAGAAAACACGCAAAAAAACATGCTTCAAAAATAGACTACTGTATATAGGTTTGGGTTTTGTAGGTGTAAAACGAGAAATCAATTAATATACAGGGTGATTTGTACTCAGTGTGACAAAATTTTTTTGATGTAAGTACAAAGTAAATGAAGTGTGATGATGCATATCAAATGTTCCAAGTCTCAAAATTAGCGTCCCAAAAAATTATTTTATGTTTTTCATAAATAACCATGCTTTTAAACTTAATACAGAGATTTCTTAATTACCTGTATATTGATTTGAGTAGATAATGTAATTTTCGTGTTCTACATTAAATTTTGAACAAGAATAATGGAAAATGACGGAGGATCAGTTGTAAAATCTCCATTGTAAATAGATTCAAAGATAAAAATTAAGATATTTGATACAAATTTTAAAAACAATAGTCTATTGCATTTTTCACACCCTGTATACAAGAAAGTGTCGGAATATATTAAAAACTGCGCCATTTTATAAGCTTTCCAACCATATGCTACACTATTGAGGTTTAGATATATCTTTTTGTTTGTTTTAGTGGTTTGAATACCAGAAAACAGGGAACTTTTTTACTGTTTTTACTGTTCAAGCTGAAACAAACATACAACTTTTGCTTAATACCTGCCGACTTTCTATGTTTTAAATGTTAAAGACACCATGCTTTGTAGTCTTCAAACCATTAAAGCGTACATAAGCAGACATAAACCTCAATAGTGTAGCATATGGTTGGAAAGCTTATGAAATGGCGCAGTTTTTAACATATTCCGACACTTTCTTGTATACAGGGTGTGAAAAATGTAATAGTCAATTGTTTTTAAAATTTTTATCAAACATCTTAATTTTTATCTTTGAATCTATTTACAATGGAGTTTTTTCAACTGATCCTCCGTCATTTTCCATGATTCTTGTTCAAAATTTAATATAGAACAAGAAAGTTACATTATCTACTCAAATCCATAAACAGGTAATTGAGAAATCGCTGTATTAAGTTTAAAAACATGGTTATTTTTGAAAAACATAAAATAATTTTTTGGGAAGCTAATTTTGAGACTTGGAACATTTGATATGCATCATCACACTTCATTTACTTTGTACTTACACCAAAAAAATTTTGTCACACTGAGTACAAATCACCCTGTATATCCAAAGAATGTACAGACAAAGCTCTAGATATATTGTTTTAATTTTATTACTATTTTAATGCATTTTATCCAAAAGGGTTATGTTGAAATAGTAGTTTACGCAACGATTGCGTTTAGTCTTTACGACACGAGTAGAAAATTAAAAACTTCTAAGAGTGTCGTAAAGACTATTAACGCAAGTTGCGCACACTACTTTACCTCCGACCGTTTTTTAATTACTAACAATCTGGTTTTTAGTTACTAACAATCACTACTCATAACTTCTTAGAGAGGTTATGTTTTCGTTTATTGTATTTG